AAGCCAGAGTCAGGGTCCCAGCCCCGAAGAGGCACCAGGTCTTGGGCCCACTGAGCAGGAGCGTGTGGGCCGCCAGAAAAAGCAGGAAAACCGTCATCTGGAGCAGAGGCTGCCATGGAGGAGGAGGAGGAAGAGTGCACAGACTTAAGGAACAGGAAAGCCAGGACAGAGTCAAGGAAGCCAGGTTCACTCGGGGCGGGAGAGAGAGCCGCCTGGCTTCCCGGCACTGGAGGGGAGGGGCTTGGGCAGTAGAGGTCTGAGCGTATTTCTAAGCAGAGGGAAGGTGTCAGCCAAAGACCACCCAGGAGAGGAGACTGGAGGCCAGAGCGTGGGGACACGGCCTCCACTGAGGAGAGGAGGAGGGGAGTCCCTGCAGGCGTCTCCACCCAACAAGCCCTGGGATTCGGGCAGGGGGCTCTGTAGGCGCTCACTCCCCTGATTTCCTGGCTCCCGCCTCACTCGGGGTAAAAGCCGAGTCCTCTCCATGGTCCCTCAGGCCCTGTACGGCCGCCCCATCAGTCCCCGCCCTGCCTCTCCCTCCTGCCACATGGCTGGCCTGCTGCTCCTTAAAAACCAGACACGATCACTCGGGCCTCTGCACCTGCTCCCCTGCAGGCAGCGGCCTCTCCATCTTGTTCAATGCGGTGCTGTTGGCACTGGGCTGTGCCTGGCACTCAGCAGATACTTGTTAGATAAACTACTGAATTATTGATTATGACAAATCAGGGCTGAGAGAGGGGGAAGGAAGAACGCAGCAGATGCCCAGGGAGATGGAGGACATCAACAGCTTGGGGGCTGCCAGTTCCTGGCTACCAGCGTAGGAACAGCTGGAGCCACACCTCCAAACCTCCCAGCAGTGCTGTCCTTTGACTAGTCTGTCCCACCGCCCCCTCCTATGCTGCTTCCACGGTGTGTCCCCCACGGAGCTGACTGAGAACAAGGACCAAGGCTTCCAATTTCCCGGAATGGTGACATGACCTGCCAGTGGCAAGAAAATGCTGAACACAGCAAGAAAATGCTGAACACAGCATAGGAACATCTTAAAGCCAACCAAGGCAGGAGGAACTGCCAGGGCAACGAAGCACTTGGAAGGGTGAGAGATGCGGAGGCTGATTTTGCCCTAAAGGACTTGCCAATTCTGGATGTGTCTGTCTTGATGAGAACTTGTGGGGCCAAGGAGATGGAAATCAGTCCAAGGTGGGGAGCGTAACAGCAGACATACCACTGTGGCCGCCATGGGGCTGCCGCTCAGGGGGCGCGAGGCTGGATGGGGACTCACCCAGCCTTCGCTCAGTTCTGAGCTCCAGCCTGAACCTGGATTTGGGAATCCCGCGTGGCTGGCAGGAGGAAAAGTCCCTTCTCTCTGGAGAAGGACTCCTCATCCCAGGCTACAAATTGCTCCTGTAAATGACTGTCAAGTACGGTGGCCAACACACAGTCGAAGATAACTAGGCACGTGGGGAACCGAGGCACGTGATCCAGAAAAGCAGCAGGAAAAACAGACAAATGGGCGAGGAGCAAGTCTCCTGGGCCCGGGCTCGTCCTGGCCACCCTGTGCCATACCTTCCCACAGCTTCTGGTGCTGGTCTTTGGCCTCCTTCTCTGGCTTCTCAGCCTCCTCCTTCACCGTCCGCAGCATCTCCACCTGGTCCTCCAGGGACTTCTTTCCGGTCTGCAGCTCAGTGAGCTTTTGCTGGATGGGGAGAAGGCAAGGGGCCAGCTCTTCCTTCTGTTCTACTTTCTTCCTCACAGACTGCTACCTCCCCGCCTCTACTCCGGGGCAACCGCAGGGCCTTTCCAAAACTCACACCCTCCTGGGTCCCCCGCTTGCTGTGGTTCCCTGCGGCCCACTCACCTTAATGTAGCTTCGAGGCCCCGTGTGACCAGGCCCCGGCTGCCTCTCCAGCTCCACCTGCCCCAATGCTATCTTTTTTTTATTTTATTTTTTGGTTAATCCTCACCCAAGGATATTTTTCCCATTGATTTTTAGAGCTAGTGAAAGGGAGGGCAGGAGAGAGAAACATCGAAGTAAGAGAGACACTGCAACTGGTTGCCTCCTGCACTGACTGCAGCTGGGAATCAAACCCACAACCCAGGAATCGGACCCCTAACACTTCGTTGCATGAGCCAATGCTCTGACCAGTGGGAACACTGGCCAGGGCCCTATTGCTATTCTAAATATACATATTTCTTATTGATTCCAGAGAGGAAGGGAGAGGGAAAGAGAGAGAGAAATATCAATGATGAGAGAGAATCATCAATTGGCTGCCTCCTGCACGCCCCTCACTGGGGATTGAGCTGGCAACCCGGGCACGTGCCCTGCCCGGGAACTGAACCAGGACCTCCTGGTTCATAGGTCAACGCTCAACCACTGAGCCACACCAGCCGGGCAATTTTAAACTCTAGGCTCCAACTGTCTTAACAACCAACATTCAGACCGCAAATGCTCTCTGCCTCGTTCTTCACACGTGCGCCCCTTCCATCTGGAGCACTCTACCTGGCTGCCGTGAATCCCCCACAGATTTCAGCCTGGAGACCTCATCCTCCAGGAAGTCTCCCTGCTTCCTGCCGCGAAGACCAGGGACCAGGCAAGAGTATCTTCTTTTTGCCCAGCAACCCTGGGCATCATGTTCTGTCCGTCTGTCCCTCCCACCGGACAATGCACCCTTGAGGCAGTTCCTGGTGAGCTTCCAGCCTCATGCCCAGTGCACAGCACATCCTGGGCCTCTGTGGATATTTCAAGAAGGACTGAGTGTGCGGGACGGGCTCCAGCCTAGGAACTGGGCCCCAAGCTGCAGGGTCTTACCCGAGCACCCACAGCATCACTGTTCTCCCGAGACCTCGGCTGACACCTCAGCGTAGACTGCTGCTATGATCCTCCCAACTCGCCACGAGGGCAAAGGTCGCTTGGAGACAGCTTCACCACATAGTTCCCCCACTACCCCCTGAGCTTAGGACGGAGCTCACGGCCCCAGGGTCCTCCGTAGCCAGGCCCTGGGGATGAGGGAGAAAGACCTGGAACCTTCCCTGGGCTGGAGCCCTTGCTCAGTGGGCCGAACAGGAGCCCAGAAGCAGTGCTGAGAACTCTGACCCATCAAACAGCCAAGGGAATGGAAGGCAGGGGAGGGAGACACACACTTGGGGGTACACCCTCCTCGCGGCCCCCAAAGCACACACCCTACTGAACTAGCCCAGCTGCGGCTGATTGACACGGT